AGGTGCTTACTACCTTTTTAGATTTGAATATAGAGCTGACATGCTTACCTTTTACACATACATCACAAACTTTATCTTCCTTGAATTTTGACTTGGGAAACCCCAGGACCAGTTCCTTGGTAATTAGCTTGTTCGGCATAGAGAAGCTAACATGCCCTGGTCTTTTGTGCCATAGTAAGGAATCAGTTTCTAGTGCACTAAGGCATGAAAGTTTATTTTCAGGTGCAGACATGATATCAACTTTGTAAACATTCTTATGCCTTTTTTCTTTGAGAAACAGTTTTCCAAAGTTTTCATTTGACACTAAACAGCTTTTGGAAGTAAAAAGAACCTGGTGTCCTTTGCCACATATATGAGATACACTTAGCAAACTGTGCTTTAAACCTTTGACATATTACACATTGTCTATAGCATGAGAGTGGAACTTACCAACCTTACCTATGCCGATTATGTTTCTATTTTTTGCCATTATCAAAGTCTACACTCTCTCCTTCATAGGCTCTTAGTGAGAGATAATTATTTTTGTTTTTGGTCATGAGGCGGGAGCAAGCACTGTCAGCATACTACCAATTCTTTCTTCCCCTCACCTTAGCCTGCAAAAATATTCATGTGTTAGGTTTAGAAACTCATACTAGCTTGGGTCCCTTTCTTTGAGTAAAAGGATGAATGACATTCTTTTCAGTCCATCCGGGCAGTTTATTATCATTCTGAGAAGGACTAGGTTTCATTAATTTTCTTTTCTCAACATATGCAACATTTTTTAGGCTTACTTTGATTTTGGATGGGCATGTTTCCTTGAAGTGTCCATTATTTCCGTAGTGAGTGCATAGACGATTATCAGGAATGTCTACATACTTATTATGATGATTGTAAGGTGTTTTAACCTTGGTGTGTTCAAGACCTTTTTTATTGATACTGTGGTTTTTATGCAGCTTGAACATTATCTGGGAAGACCTGGTCTAATTTAAGTTCTTTTCTAATTCAAACTTGTCCTTAACTAGGCTTTCTTGAAGTATCCTAGCCTTTTCAGATTCAGCTAGAAGTTTGTTATTGGTTTCTTTCGGTTCACTTTCTAGTTTCTCCTGAATGTCAATGGCTGGCTCCTTTTCTTTATTTGGTGCACTAAGTAATCTATTATTTTCAATTTCTAAGGCAGCCTTTTCATCTTCTAGCATAAGAATCTTGTCCTTGAGATCTACTACAATGACCTCAAGATCTTCTTTACTTACTTTTAGATCTTTGTGTTCAAGTCTAACTGATGCATATTCAGTTGTCAGTTGCTCATTTTCATCAGAGATCTTTTGATATGCATCAATTAAAGCAGCTGATAGAGAAATCAGTTTCTTTTTGGAGTATGTATGAATTTTTTCTTTGATGTCTTGAAAGCTTACCTCAAGTTCTTCTTTCTCATCAGCGTTAAGAGTCTGAATTTGCCATTAATTCCAGGAGATCTTCTGATTCTGAATCACTATGCTCTTTGGCCATTAGTGACTGATCCATCATCATCATATGTTGAGGATGACTGCATGGCAGCCATTGCCTTTTTTATAATTTTGTCCATTGCCTTGTTAGTCATTCTTCGTCCTGGAACCTGGTCTTTACTCTGCTGCCTTCCCTTATTAGAATTATTCTTTTTCCACTCAACTTCCTACAGGGGAGAGTCCTTAATGAAGTGATCTTTGTTTCCACACTTGGAGCAACCATTAGCACTATTATTATTGTTGTTTTTCTCTATGGTCTTTGGTTTTGATGAGCTACCCTTTTTCAAGAAACCACCTTTCCTTATTGATCTTTAAAAGCATCGAGTCAGCAATGCCATATCATCTTCTTCGGTGTCCTGTTTGTGGGTTGTTTTAAGAACTAGGTTCTTGGTCTTGCAAGGTTCGGGAACTTGTCGATCCAGCCGTTCCTGAGTTTCCAGATTTCCAATCAGATCATAAAGAGTCATTGTATTTAGATTCCTTGCTTCAATAATTGCATTTACTTTGTTGTCCCATAAGGAAGGTACTATGCTCAGAATTTTCCTCATAATTTTGTTGCGGGGAATCACTTCTCCAAGAGATATTAATTCTTTGATAATGGCAGTGAGCCTGGTATGCATCTCCAAGATAGTTTCCCCTCTTTCATCTTCAACTGTTCATATTGCCTAGTTAGCATGTCAATCTTTGCTGCTTCACTTGAGAAGTACCTTCATGAACACACTGCAGGACATCCCATATAGCTTTTGCATCTCTGCGGGCAGATATTCCATTGTATTCATCAGGGCCAGTTCCACAGTTTAAGATTTTCTTAGCTTTGGTATTCTTTTGAACTCCTTTCACATCTTCCTCAGAGTATTTTTCTCTTGGCTTTGGTCCATTAGGGACACCCTTGTCATCAAACATCATTGGATTTTTGGTCCCTTCTCAACAATATCCCAGAGTTTCAGGTCTTCTCCTTCCAGGAAATCACGCATCCTTTCCTTCCACCATCCATAGTATTTTTCATTGAACAGTGGTGGCCTAACGGTTGATTGTCCTTCTTGAGCATCTGATGGTGCAGTCATTGTAGATCCTTTCAATGTGTTACCTTCTTATGAAATAACTCGCTTTGATACCAATTGTTATTTTAGACTACACTTAGACACAAGAAGGGGGGATGAATTGTGTCTTGCTTGATTTTCGCATTTTCAAAGAACTTGGTTCTTTGAACTCTTTTAGCACTCTCAAACAAGAACTTTTGCAGAAAAGTAATTAACACGGAGATTTTTACGTGGAAAACCTCCTTACTCAAGGGAGTAAAAACCACGACCTACCCAGTAGAATTTTCTCCAAATCTTCACTAACTTCAAAGAGCAACTTTAGGTTACAAACTCAATAACCAAGGGAACTACCTCTAGTACCTTGACCCCTACAATCAACCCAATTGTAGCAACCCCTTTCTAAATTAACTCTAGCTTAGAAAGTGTAATACAACAAAGTCTTAATAATAATCTATTACAAAACTTCTATGAAAGCAAATAGGTTACAACTCAGAACATAAAACTCAACCTAACAACTAAAGAACTTGAGAAGCTTCTTCTTCAAGAGCATGTTCTTCAGTTGATCGAGTTGCATCTTTAAAAGTACCTTGTTGCTTTGATTTTCTATTGTCAGAAGTATTCTCATGATTTATCTCAATAGCAGTAATCTTGAATTACGGCAAAAGGTCTTCTTTTATAGACGCAAGGTTGGCCATATTCCCTCTTCAATTAATGCTCCAAAACCTACAATATTTTGGTTAAAGAAATCCTTTCTCGTTTAGATTAGGTTTCCTTATTGGACTCCAACTTGCATCCTTCTTGCTTCCCAAGTAATTTTCATATACGCATATTCTTGTTACTCCCTCCATTTCAAATTAGATGAGGTACTTTTCTTTTTAGTCTGTTCCAAAATAAATGACACATTTCTAAATTTGAAAATAATTCAACTTTAAACTCTTCATTTTACCCATTTTACCATTAATGAGAAACTTTTATAACCACACAAATGCCGAGGCCCCACAAAGCTTTTACCCCTTAAGCTTTTAAGACCACAAGTTTTAAAAGTCTTCTTCTTTTTTCTTAAGCTCCGTGCCGACTCAAACTACCTCATCTAAATTGAAACGAAGGGAGTTTACACAAAATCCTCCAACCGCATATTCCTTTTTGGACACTGACAGGATCTTCTAGAAATTCTTTCTTGTATGGGAAAGCTGGTCTTCCGCATCTGACTTGGTGACTTCAGCTAGCCAGTTGTAAACCTGGTTCTTTTGACATTCAACATTCTTACTTTGTCACATCTTCAAAATAGTCTTGCATGCACCAGACTAGACCCTGAAATCTTGTTCTTATCACAGTTTGTTAATCATCAAAACACAGTACTTTCTCAGTTCAACAGATGATAATACCAACGACTACAAACTGAAGAGGATCATATAATTGAAGAAACATCACAGAAGTTGAAACAAGCTAATGTCAGCATTACTCACTGTTTTAGGGAGGCTAATCATGCGGCGGATTAACTTAGGAAAGAAGGCAAATAATAGCACTAAAGCTTCTCTATATTTATCAGCCCGACAACTTCCAAGAGGTGTCATAGGTTCTACCAACTGGATATATGGCAAATGCCAAGCATAAGTTCAAGATTTGACAAGGCCAACATCATTGTTAGCTAAATATATGTCTTTTGTTCACAGGGTTAGGTTGTATTTTTGCCCCTCTCCTACGCTGCTTTGGAAGGATAAAATATCTTATCCTTGTGTTGTATTTTGGAGGTAAGGTGTCCCCCTCTTTTACTCTTCTTCCAATTAATACAACCCCAAGTACATCTGGGAAATTATATATATAGAATACAAAATAAACCAATTAACTTTGATTCCTCAAATAGCTGATACTAATTACCTGCTGCTAAAGTAACAAATCTCCTTAAATTCCTTCTCCCAAGTTTAATTCAAGTTAAGGGACGAATTAATTTGATAAAGATCTCTCCCGAGTATTCGACTGAGAGCTTGACCGTCATGATTCATATATCAATATATTCTAATTAAGGTTGTTATTGCATATCCATTGAGTAGAGTGACTGCAAAATTTATAGCCATATTACTGTGTTTGTTACCCATAAGGTTTATTAGACTAAAACATCAGGGCCAAGTGAAACAGAGTAGCACGAAGAGAATGGCGAAAAGCAAAGGAGTACTCTGATGTGTTCAGTTTGTATGACAGTCGACGAATTTCATCCATTAGGGATCTAAGGGTAAAATAATTTTGAATCAAGAGATTACTGGTTTTGCCTGCTTTGCTTCAATTAGACCAAGGCGTTAGAACTTTACCCCAATATGGAACTTGATTTATAGTCTTTGTCCAATGCTGGTATAGGACACTGGGCAAGAAACCCAAAAAAGAAAAGTTAGCCTTGACACTACATGACGAATAGCATCAGCAAGAAATATAGGCGTTCTTGATTTTGTGGGCATGAACTTTCCAGATTTCACTGGTCATTGTCTTACATCAGAATAACTATTATAACTCATAGATTCATCCAACAACGACTAAAGATTTTACAGTCATTGTAAAACCCAGTTAATATGTGTTCCACTTGCAGATGTGGTGCAACCCCCCAGAGTGAGATAAACAAGAGGAATTATACAATCGTTTCAAGTGCTATCATCACAACAGCCCCCCACGACCAGAAAATAGAGGGGATCGAGAACAAAACAAAAATCTAACCGCAATAACCTGTACAAAGATGTATGGCAGTATTCTTATCTTATAAAAAGCCAAAGGAGCAAAACATGTTAGTCACTCGTTCCATCCATAACTCATGTTGTCAAGATCGCTAAAAAAACCATTTTCAGTGAGCTCCTGTGTTATATCTGGAACCACTTCATCTGATTGATGAATACTAGGGTGAGAATCTGGAGCTTTCTCGCTGAAACTACAGTTGCCAGCACCAACAGATGATTCACGACTAGAAGCCGCTTTGAAACTGTTACTTCTGCAGGGGGTGGGTCCTGTAGAGCTTGGCTCATTTGTAGTGGTTGCACAACTATTGTTTCCAAAACCAAGCCCTTCCCTAGAAGCATTACCATCTGACCTCTGCCCAGCTCCACCGCTATTAGTATTCATATCCTGGAGGAGTCGCTGCATCATTTGCTGCTGCAAGGCCTGAGGATGATTTTGTTGGAGTTGCTGTAAGCCATTACTATTCAGTAATCTCTGCTGTGGCTGCAGTTGTTCCTGCACATTGCTACTTGACAAGCCAGTAATAGGTAAGTTCAACAAGATTCCTGGCAATACACCATTTGGCCCTTGCAACAATGTAGATCGAGAGTGATTTAAATTACTGAAAGAAGCAGCCTCTTGTCGAACTGACATTGGGTTTGAATTGGTCGAGTTCTGCCGCATAAGCATATTATGGTAGTTTGTCAGTGCAGGAGCAGCTTGTGCGGAGCCACTTAAAGTTCTCCGACCAGCCATGTGCTGATTATTGTTTATCTGGCCATTAAGCCCCGGATGCAATGTGATAAGCTTGTTCAGTGCACTGTGATCAGTTGGCACCTGAAGCTTAGCTGCAGTAACATGCCGTGGAAAGTTCTTTAAGCCCTCTGCAAAATGAATGTTGGCATAGTCAATTTTCTTCCCATATGGGAAAAATAACTCCATGAATTACAAATCTATCATATATATCATAACAGTTCGAGTAATGGAAAATTACCAATTGGCCCAACTTTATGATCTCTGCAAAAGTCCATTAAGTCCTTCATACTGTTCACAACCTCAGCTATCTGAACGTCAAATCACATCAGCACCAAATTAATGAGCCAATACTCTTTTAATTTATGGAAAAGTGGAGGAGAATTCTCCCTCCCATTTTAAAGTCAATGTATTCAAACTACCTGTAAGCACCTCATATGCCTTTTGGAGAATCCCAAATCATTAAGTGACTGCATCTCCAAACTCCTGGCAAGCTGACGTCCGGCTGAGACGACCCTAAAGTGAATAAACTTCAATATCAGACAGTGTGATGTAGAATTGTAGTTTGAACCAATTGCATCAAGTGGAGAGAACATAAACTCCACCAGTAGCGAACAATACATGGTCAGATATTTGCAAAATGCCAATCCCCCAAGCAAAAACTGCTTTAGCCACTAGGCACCGTGGGATTGAAAAAGAGACTTCACGAAAGCAAACAATCATCCAACATGTCTCATATACGAACCAAGCATTCTCCTTAAAACCAAATAAACTTTTTTAATGGATATGCTTCAAATTTAGCAGCACAACAAACAAAAATGAAGAAACGTACTGTAAGGGTGCGCCACAAAAGATATCAAAGGAGCAATTTAGGACAGAGAGTAAAGACAAATAAGTGAGAGTACTCTACACAAGTAAAAGATGCCACTCACAGGAAAAAGCGGAACCCAATACGAGATTAGAACATATACCAATAGATCAAGCAACGTGAATGAGAAATAAGAGGAGTAACATCATCAGTAACTTCAGCAACTTGTTACTCACATGTTGCTGTTTTCTTGGATGTCCTGATGAGAAACTCCATTAGACCCACTTTCAGTTAATGTAGTCAGGCATTTCTGAGCAACCTGCAGTAACTGATTTACCTGCAGACAAGAATGCCATATGAAGACAAGTGGCAAATATGAAATGGTTGCTCACTCATTGTATGCTCAAACAGTTAATTTACGAGAGACTAAAGATCAAAGTTGAGAAGGAAATTTTCTTAAAGTTGCGTAAGTTTAAGTGGCAGTATATAGATCAATTAAAAACTTCCTATTTCCTTTCTGCAGACAAAATGTCCAGATCCTCCAACGGAGAAGGGTGGACACTAGCTGCCCCAATAAGAAGTCAATTTGAAACTTCCCATTTCCATTCTGCAGCAAAAATATGTGGAGCCTCCAACAAAGAAGGGTCGCCGCTAGCTTCCCCAGGTGGAAGGAAATAGCAAACTTCCTACCTGCCTTCCTGCCGCGAAAATGAACGTCCAACAAAGAAGGGTTGCTACCAGTTGTCCCATTATATCATACTCAACAGTTACAGAACAAGCAGTTCAATTGACTGCAAACGTTTTACTAGCCAGAGAAAGTCAATTGGAAACTACTTACTTGCATTCTGCAGCCAAAACATCCGGACCTTCCAACAAAGAGGGATGGCCAGGACCTTCCCACAAAGAGGATGGCCATCAGCTATCCCAGTGGAATCAAACTCAACAGCCACAGAAAAAACTTTAACTGAACCATATGTTTTAAATAGTAACTCCTTTAGCTTTCTAGTGGGAAAAACTGCACTAAAGCATCCATGGACATACTTTCCAAAACCTCTAAAATTGGTCACCAAACAGCTATAATCATGTATTCTGAGGAAAAACAAAACAGTTTCTGCAAGCTATAAAATATAGTAAAACATAAAGAAAAGATATTTAGAAACTTATTATAACACGTCAAAAAGGCGTACATAAAAAAAACTAATATGCCAGATAACTATGTTAACACAGTAATATTTCAAATGAGTACATCATGTACTTGGAGGGGAGATTTCCCCGGATAGCAAGAACCAGAATAACTTTTAAGAGCTCATGTACCTGTGGTGCAACTAATCTTCGAGGAAGAAGCTCTTCATGATGCCGTACGCAGAACTCCCATGACAATATCTGGCGAAGACATCAAATCATTAAAAATGACTATTGTAGAGCCACTGATCCCTCGTAAGGCTATTGTATCTTTCTATGTACCTTTAAATCAGAACTGAAAATAATTCGAAGTTGGCCCTCCTGAACCACACGAAGTTGTTCATATACACTTTCCTGAACTGCTTTTGCGCATTCTAGCATCATTAGTCCTGAAGGAAATCTACATTCACGTGGGAAATCCAAAAACAATAGTTCATCAATAACACCACTGCCAAATTTGATTTCATTCAGCCTCGGAAGAGCTTCAAAAGTTGCCTCTGTTAGAAACCACCAAACAAGGAGCAAGTGAGAATGCAAAACAAGTAGTTGGTTATGGAATGAGGAGTCCAAGACTCAACTCATTCCAAAATATGATAATTGGAAACTAAGAGTTGAAGCCATATGCATCATACTCCCACAGAAAGTTCAAGGCTTTTTATGAAACTTATTTCTTCTGCGGGGAAAGGGCGTTTACATTTTTTTTTTTTTTTTTGAGAAAGTAACATATCCAATATATTAATCAAATCATCAGCAGAGTTTTTACTTGAAGCAAAAATTTACATCATGAGAAGACAGAAACAAAAACCAAAACCATAACTCCATGTTCTTCTTATATGGAGCCTAAAACTTACTACCTCCATTTCAATTTATGTGAAATCATTTGACTGGGCACGGAGTTTAAGAAAAGAGAGAAGACTTTTGAACTTGTGGTGTAAAATGAGGCACATATTTTGTGTGGCTGTAAATCATTGCATAGAGATAAACTGTTTCCAAATAAGTCATTCTTTTTGGCACGACCCAAAAAGGAAATAGTTTCACATAAATTGAAACAGAGGGAGTATATGTTTGCATCCAAATCATCATAAAAAATTTTGTAATTCACATTTACAAAACTGTTAACTGAGTAATTAAATCTATATCATTTTCCTTTTTCTTTTTTCTTTTTGCAGAGCCAAAATACCGTATGTGGCACGAGAGGGAAAAAATCCTTTTATTTAGACCTATAGTTTTACTTGCCAATTCAGCAACACTTGTATTACTCTTACAAATTTTAAGTTACTTCCTGCTTCTAGTTTCAAGATGTTTATCAGCTCCAACATATATTCTGGCAACTGAGCTTACAGTGAAAACAGGACAAGTGGACAACCACAGTGTGGCATTATAACACATTTTCCACCTTGAGATGGCCAGCAATGAGACGTTAATGAGCCAGGAATCTCTGTTTTGTATGATATCATATGTTTAAAGTTCACAATCTTCTACTGAACGAAAGATTATCTTCCACCAACATCTCATGCTACACAAAATGCTGTATGAAGAGTATCTTCAGATTTTAGATACAGGTTTCCGCTTAAGTTCCAGGTTCTGTAGAAAAAATTTCATGTGTTACTATTTGACTAGTCACTCAGGCTTGAAAAACTCCATTTTCTTCCTTTCCTTCTATCCTTTTGGGAGTTGTTGGGTTTGGGGGTTGGAGGGTGTGGGGAGTTCCTTTAAAATGATCTGGAAATTTTGAATCTCTAATTTGGAGAACACACTTGTATATCTCATTTTAGGAATTTTATACATTAGTAAAAGTTCATTCATGCATTTTGATGCCACACTTCTACAACTCCATAAGCTGAGATTTCAAATATTTAGTTCTTTCAGGAAATTCTCTCCGTATTATGGGGATAAGTGAAGCTTCAAAAAATTGTTCCATCATAACAGTCATTTGAAGCAGACAAGAATTAACAACTTTTGTCGTGCCTCCCCAAGATTTAAAGTAGACATTACACTATTACAGGGTAGTTATGAAAATATAGTGCGCCACATCAACTTAAATCTTATATTGCATGCACACAAATGTGATGCACATACACTGGACGAACTTCCTCAAGCCCTCCAAGCAAATATTATCAAGTTTGACCCGAAGGATCTCCTACTGTGTAGGTATTCTAAACTCAATTTACCAAGAATACCCTATAAGTTAATTGACACTACTCAAAAGTGATAGACTGAGAGAATCTAGACCATGACATAACAAGCACCAGAGTTTAATCACCTAAACCTACCCATGCTGATGTGTCAACTTTAAATTAATGACTAGCAATCGAAAATGAGATGACCAATTGACCCACTCACCAAATCCTCTTCCAGATTTTGAACTGCAAATATCACAATGCCATTCATCCTGCTGGAAAATATGGAACAAGTGAACATGTTACAACTTGATGCTTGTGAGATTAGTTGAAAAAGGGGTTTGGGGGATGACTGACTTAAGGAAATGGAAAACTATATAGCAACAATGTATCGAGCAAATAGGTGCATATGACATTACAAGTAAGGCATAATAAGTACATATCCTGTCCACATCATTCTCTTTGAACAAAGCACTCAACCCTAACATACACAACTCCATCAGCTAATAGTCAGAAGTCATAGTACCGTCGCTCCTAGACTTAAGAACCCAAATTTTAATTTTCAAAAATTAAGGAAAAATGGTAATAATAATAATAATACCACGGTTGCTTGTGGAAATACACCAATGGAAGGATGCCCAATGCTATCATACAACGACAAGCACCATCTCTTCTTTGCACGTGGGGAATAATATTCAGCTACAAACTTTCTCCAATAGGCAATAGAATTATCCTAACAGAAATTTAACAAATCAAATAAACAAATGAGACACATGAGATTCTTTTAGATGGAGCCTTCTTCATAATCAAAAACAAGTTCACTCACAGGAGGTCGTTGTCGCTGATGGTACAGGTACTGCATTAACCGCCGAGAGCACAAGACACTACCGGAGGGATATTTCATGGCTGATACAGGCTGCACGGCTTGTTGTTGAAGTTGTTGCCTTAACTGCAGCTGTTGCTGCTGCTGCAATAGCTGGGCGCGCTCGACTGGTGACATGGACTGCAAGAGCTGTTGCTGCTGTTGCCTTAACCCCTGCTGCTGGATCAAGGCTTGTAACTGAGGGTTGGGGTTCTGCAGGTGCAAAGGGTCCTTTCTCTGCAATAATTGTACTTGCTGTTGTATATCATCTTGTTTGATGTCTAAACGCGGTTTCTTTTGCATATGGCACAGAGCAACATGATCTTGACGGAAAGATTCAGGAACCCTTGGTTCTTGATTAGACTTTTGCTTAACCACAGAGGATCCATCCATGCCTGATGAACCAGAGATGCTAATATTATTGGAGGAAAACGACATAGGTGACGCAGGCAACCGTATATAGGACTCTGCACTAATGCTGGCACTTCTCTGAAACCGAGGACCTCCTGAAAGTCCTGAATTGGCATCTGTAACCAAAGAACTCGCGTCAAAACTTGGACCTGATCTTTCCACACTATTCAAAACTGTATTACTAACATCCCCAGAAACAGGACCCATGCTCGACTGCGCATTTCCAGGTAAAGAATTTGATTCACTCTCGAAAGATGACCACATGTGTGAATTACCCCCAACTTGAGACTGCCGATCTCCTTGGTAAAAGATACCAGAACTTGAAGTTGAGTGTTCCATCCCTCCAGCCACCCGAGAAGTCACAATTGGATGCACCGTCTCCTGCTGGCAGGGATCCAAGTAGCTCTCCTAAGGTGCAGAAATATGTTTAAGCCTTCTTATGCAAAAAGTTGGAAGCAAATTATCATCCAAACAACCTAAGAAATAGTAGCAAACTATTGAACTACAATTCTTCTTCACCAACCAAATACAGCCCTAAAATGTTCTCTAATTTGACTGTCTGCTATCTAACTTGCAACTGATGAACCCAATTAAGCTAATATGACAAACAATGTGAGGAATGGAAGACTTAAATCTGGTAAACTTCTGAGCAACACTAAAAAAAAAAGGATAGAAGATATCTAATTAGCAGCTATAACAAAACATTTATCAACTAACTAAAGAGCAGACAATAGTCTAAAATCTTCTCTTTCTGACATGTCTATTACCCAACTCACGAATTATGAACCCAATTAAGCAAGTAATTAAAATAAATTAGATACCCAAAAGATAGTAGAATGAAAAACCATTATCAGTCATGTTAAGAGGAGGAAATATAATACAATTATAAACATATAAATAAAAATAGAAGCAATAAAAGAAATTGTATCCCGCATTACAGCTAAATTATTCGGATAATTTAATAAGACACATTAACAGATACCCAAAAGTTGGGATCACTAGGATAATTACTCAATTTATAGAATTATATCAAAAGATCAACAAAAGGAACATAAAAGAAAGAAAAAAGATCAACACTTTATAGCAAAACGGTAAAGTAAAAAATTATACTCCTAGCTAGCTAAAATTTAGAGCACAAAAAAAAATATTGGAAAAAAGAGCTATAAACCTTGTAACAAGCAAGTAGTAGAAGAGATTTCAGCGAGCGACTAAACGTGGGAAAGTTTGATTGAGATTTTATACCCAGCGGGAATTGCTGAGGACAGTGACCGGTTGTAGCCGGTGGGCAACCCCTATGAAACTGGTTGTAACAGGTTGTCATAAGGAGACGTTTCAGTTGAGCTATTGCACGTGGCGTTGTTTTATTCGTTTATCATAGAAATTGGGAACTAAGCTGGGTAAGCATCATAACTGATGTATGTAAACACATTTGATGTTAAGGTTGTTGGATGATTTTGACAGCTCTTGCAACGCAACAACAACAACCTTATAAAATCTCATAAGTGCCGGCATGAGATGGTAAAGTGTAGGCAGACTTTACTTCTATTCCGGATGGATAGAGAAACTGTTTCCGAAAGACCCTTGGCTTAAAAAGACGAAAATAAACAATAGATCAGTACCAGCAACACGAGCCAGAAAAATAATAGTAGTAACAGAAAATAGAACATCCGATAGTTAAGTGACCCTCGACACAAAGTTTAGTTTTGAAGTAACGGCAATATTTGAAACTTTGAACGTAGAACATCCGAGATCATTGTTTTGAAAGGAAAAATTGGGATTCGTCTCGGACAACAAAATCTGTCTATAAACTTATTAAGAATACCTATAATATTGATTTTGTTTAATGTGACATAATTTGATTGCGTACGAAAATAAAATAAAAAAATTATGATCCTAAAGATGACATGCCATTTCTATGACAAAGTTGTTAAGACTAACTTCTTAATTTTCTTTGAAATCTGTTTTTGTTAATACTCCCTCCGGTTTAAACTAAGTGATTTTTTAGCCTTTTTCTTTTGGTCCAAAATAAGTGATTTTTTCAGATTTCAAGAATGAATTAATTATTTTTTTCTTACGTTGTCCTTGGAGTAAATAGTGTTGGAATATGTGTTAGGAGTGTTTATGTGAGGTAGTAAAGGTTAATATGGTCAATTCGATTGCTAATTAATGCTAAAAGGTGGATTTCTTAATCTGTATGAAAACATTCAAAAAATCACTTATTTTGGACCGGAGGGAGTAATTAAGAACTGTCGACTTATATTGCCATGCCTATGTATTAATATATCTTGATTAGTTAAACCAATTATGTATATTTTTTTGCTTTAACGTGTTAATATTAACTTTTCATACTTTATAATTTTTATCTCAAAATGTTTAAGATAAAAAAATTGTGAAACTTACGTCCTATGCTTTGAACTAATGCTTTATATACTATGATAGTCCATAGATAAAATGTCTCACTTCTTATCTTCCTAACATATACCTTATCTAAAGGTATAGGTTAGTGAAATGGACCGAGAACTATGAGGTCTCATATTTAAATTCTAGCATAGTCAAAAGTATTAGGTAATCTCGTCCTATATATTCTAAATTTAATGGACAAAGTTACATGATAGGTGAAAGTTAATAGGTACCTCGTATACGTAATTGAGGTGTGTATAAGCAGCATAGGACACCACGATTATCAGAAGAAAATAACATTACCCCATTTATATTGCAAACTGAAGCTCATTCCCGATAAGATGGACACTTTTGTATTTAGTTTTGTTTTGTTATCTGAATTTGTGATACTTAAATAGTTAATTAAACTTAGTCGGTCTTATTGCGATTTTGGATAGTGATAATCAATAAGCAAAAAAATACACAGATAGCTAATTAAATTTAGTCAATCTTATTGCAACTTTGAATAGTGATTATAAATAACCAAAAAAATAATGGGGATTGCAGATGCACTCTAGTCTCTAATGATTGCATCGTGGAACTAATCCCTGAACTTTTAAGACATAGGATCTCAAACCCGGTTCATTTCTCTTCTATTTGTTCATAATTCATAAAATATTGCACTACTTAACTGTATTACGTAACATTTTTCTTCAAATGAGAATTGAGGTTTCCCCAACAACAATTGTTGAACTTTGACCCTCACTGATCCACAATCTTGTAACAACATTAGGCTTTTGATTTTCATTTTACTTGATGACATGTCATACTCAAGGAATTAAGGGTGTGTTTGGTACGAAGGAAAATGTTTTCCTAGAAAATGTTTTCATGGAAAATGAGTGGTTTTATCATTTATTTTCTCTTGTTTGGTTGGTAAGTGGAAAACATTTTCCGGAAAATATTTTCTATTGTTTGGTTAGAGAGTAGAAAATAGTTTTTTTTAGGAAAATATTTTTTATGCAACTCTCCTCACCCCTCCCCCTCCCCCTCCCCCACCCCTTCCCGAAGTCTCTAAAAATTGACACAATCTAAAGGAACTAATGTGATGCTTTACTTTTTAACGCAAAAACCGCGTATTTTCGAACCCGTAAACTTTATAATTTCTAAACCCGTAAACTTCCAAACACATAAACTCTGAACTCATAATTTTGGGACTTGTAAAATTTTGAGCCTTTAAATCGATAAATAATAAAATTAAAAACTAAAAAATATATTTTAAATTTCTTTTCGGGGGGCTGGGGGGACAGTAAAACGAAAAAAAACAAAAATTTAAATTACAAAAAAAAAGTAAAAAAAAATTGTGCGGGGGGTGCAGAAAAATGAAAAAACAGAAATTTAAAATTGCGAAAAAAAAAATTTAAGGTAAAAAAAATATTTTTTTTAACGGCGGAGGGGGAGATGGAGGGGTAGTAGGGTGGATAGTAACGGAAAAACTGAAATTTAAAAAAGCAACTTTTTTTTGGAAAGGAGGTGAGGTGGGTTGGTGAGGGTGAGAAAGGTTGAGAAGGAGCTTTGGAAAATATTTTCCCTTCTTTTGATAAGGAAAACATTTTCCTCCAATTGGAGGAAAATGAATTGATAAGGAAAATGTTTTCCAAAACATTTAAACCAACCAAACATGGGAAAATTGGAAAACATTTTCCAGAAAATGTTTTCCTTTCATACCAAACACACCCTAAGTCTAGGAAACAACTGAGAATTTATGCTTCAGATGCCAATTAATCTTCATCGAAGAGGCGCAGATGCCTCAGCTAGACGCACTTTGATTACTAAAGAACAATTTCGTTGTATAATCACCCAAACTAGATATTTCATAGAACCTGATATTAAGCAAATTCAATGTCACCTTAACTCAAATACCTGATCCAAGCTTTACCATGGGACTTTCAACTTCAAAACAGAATACGTAATACTAGCAAGTCTATTTCGAGTTCGAGACTAATTGCCGAATCCATGCTAGTTGATAGCGTCTAGTTCGAGACTAACATATGAAATGCAAACAAAGACAAGAAAATTTGATGTTCCAGCTACTTAAAGCATACTTCTACAGCACCACTTGCAATGCGACCGTCCCACCAAATATGACTCCAAGGTCAGAGGCTGATAGCGAGCAAACTAGGAGCGAGATCTTTCTCTAGCTGGAGGTGAATCGCTGCATTGGAAACAAATAAGAAAATTTACAAAGCTTATTAGCAAGAAAGCAATTGAGGAACTGTACCACAGAGCACAGATATGCAGAAAAAAGAGCTAAAACAAGAGTAAAGAAGATGCAAACCTCCTGAGTCTTTCTGGAAGAGGACTTTCTGCTGCAGCATATCCAGGACTATCAATTTCTTCAGGTTTAGACCTTGGGCTGCGGCCGCGATAACCATCTGGGCTCTGTTTCTCTCTCCTCCCCCTTGGAGGACTAGGGCTGGCTCTACGATCATCCAACATTCCTTCCTCTGGTGGACTGCTCACATGGCCATTTTCAGAACCAGCTCTCAGCCTTCTAGGGTTTGGGCTATGACCATTTCCTTGATCAGGGTTCCTCTCCTTTCTCATGCTTGGACTATGGCCACGGCCATACTCAGAATTCCTTTCCCTATGATTGGGATTTGGACTAGCGCCACGACCATAATCAGGACTTGACCTACCATGACGGAGTGGACTTGGGCTACGGGCCCGACCACGACCATAATCAGGACTTCCCCTCTCTCTTCCATAAGGACTCCGAGATCGATCTCGGTCATAACCTCTCCTGAGACCACCCCTATCACGGTTTCTATCAGGACTAAACCCTGTTCTCCTGTCATCATCATCTTTATTTGCATATTCAACTGTAATGACTTGATCCATCAGTTTACTGCATCAGAAAGCAAAACATGAACAACAAAGGCTGGTCAACTATGGAAGTGGAAAATATGGAAAACTACGAAAAAGTTTGATAAGTAATCACATTATAACAACTCTTATTAAGAAGATACCTCATGTGTGTAGCATCCAAGGCTCTGGAAGCATCCTCCTGTGTTTCATATTGGACAAACGCAAAATTCCTTCTAATCCTTATATTGAGAATTTTTCCATACGGATCGAAGTGCCTCTCTATATCCCTGCTCCTAGTATTATGTGGATCAAAATTTATGACAAACAAAGTCTTCGAAGGTTTGACACTAGATGAAGATTTCCTAGAGCTCTCAGGCCTCCTACTGCTACGCTCTTCCTGCAGCATAGCCATTGAGATTACCAAGTGAACTTTAAGATTTTCAGGGGAGAGAGGGATTTGAAGACAACAAATGGATTACCTTTGACCACTCAATGCGAAGTCTGCGGCCCTTTCTACCAAATTCTATTCGGTCAAGTCCACGAATAGCATCCTCTGCATCTCTTTCATCGTCCATATAAACAAAAGCAAAACCTGAAACCCCACCCCAGGAAACACCAAAGATTAAATAAAAACTCAAAGGAAATGAGAAAAAGAATCCTCACGTGAAATATTCTTCAGTATTCAAAAAATTGAAAAGAACTTCCATCAAACAGAGATGTAAACCATCTTAACTTTACATCTCAATCATAAAAATGACCACTCTGTCAAATCTAGAAAAAATTTTACCAGTAAAATCAGTAACAGACCTTTGGTGGTGGACTAACAGATTTCAAGTAAAGGTGCATGTCACATGAGGGAACAATGTAAAGAAAGTGCCTTCTCCATTTTAATCTGCTGCCTCAGCATCGAGGTCGGCATTGTGAGTTGTGACAAGTCTGTAAAATGAAGGCTGGGAAATGGAGGGCAATAGTGACGGAGGAAAATGTATGATTGTGATGCCATGATGGATCAGAGAGCTCTTCTAGGAGACAAGAAGAGAACACTTGTCACAGCTAGGAAATGAAATGAGACGCCGTCCATCAGCCATGATAGTATGGACATTGCAATGTTATCCTGCGCCAAAGAATAATTGAGTATGTGGGTTTATACTTAAATACACTTCTTTGTAAACATATCCTAACACCCATAAGAAACTACACATCTTCTGTTGTTGAGTCAAATGATCTGAACAGATCTTCAGCCCATCGGCGTAGTGCTGTTACAATGTGAAGCATGAACGTGGTGTCCCCTAGCAAACCAACTATTCAAGTCCTTGGACAGTTGAATGTATGGGATAAGTGCCGGTGGGACTTCTGAAACTCTAGACTTACCATACTCAGGTGACATCTTTTACTGTAGCCTGTAGGAGCTACTCCTTGTTTCATGAATCAACTGCTTTGTCAGCACATCAGCTTTACTAGTTGCTTGTTATCAAAAACATCTGTAGCCAGACTTCATAGAACCTAGTCGAAGCTTACCAGGTAATAAGTTACATAAGAACTGTTTTTCTTAGATCAGATAGAACATGGTGTATTGTATGTCCAGGTTTGATATGCAATTAGCCGGACGAACACTTTGGCAACTCATTTCATGCCTCAGTTTGCAGTTGCATGGAGGTAACAACTCTCAACCAAATAAAAAACTGTCCAGATAAATGGAAGTGAAATCTTCCACCATCCCACTACACGGTCATATTCAAGCACCTTACTGCAGGACCATCAAATGCATGATCCAAACTCGCCCGCAACATAGAGGATAATATATTAAAAATAACAAGGTAAAATATATCGAAATAACACCACTGCAGCAGGAAGGTTTTAATTGAAGCTAGTTAACCATATACCCAATTCCTCTCACGTAAAATCCTTTTTTTGGTATAGTTACATGTATAATCTTGCAGGACAGAGATTGGGGACATGAAAGGTCATTCCAGATAAATAGTTCTTGTCCAGAGCAAACTCAACCAAATAACCAATAAGAGCTTCCAAATAGAGTTAGAAATAAATTACACACATAAAATCAAGACTGTCGAGGCATACCAGATTTCATATCCACCCTATCCACCTTCCCATATCTTCTGAAAAGCCTCTCCAACTCTGACTGCCTGGCGTTATATTCAACATTCCCACAGAAGATTGGCCTCATCCCGCCTGAGTAGAAGATGTCAAGACTCTTTCCACCCTGAGATCATACAAGAAACATTGTTGGTGAAAAGGGAAGAGAAAAAAATCAATAAGTCCACTTCCAGCATACATAATGTACTTCATCAGTACAAAGCAAAACATCAGTTAAGAATGCCAGCAATCATTTCATATTAGTCATCGTATGATGAGTTAGATGACCTTAATCAGCGATGAAGAGCATTTGAAGTAAAACGTGATAAATTGTTTGACAATAGCGTAATAATTGCTAGATATCCACCTAAAATGACAACTTCCTACCAAAATCTTGAGGCAGCCAATAAAACAGATACTATAACATACAGTACATACAATAAATTACAGTTTTTTTTTTCATTATCAAAAAAAAAATTACAGTTTCTTTTTTCAAAGGTTAACATACCCAGTGAACTTAGGAATTGTTGCTTTTCTGAGGACACTATTAATTTCTCTTGAATTTCAGCAATGGTTACATACATCATCCCAGAAAGATCATTATTTATTTTTTTCACTATTTGAGTGTCAAACCTACTAAAATTTGACCATGATTTTCATTCAACTTGTAGTACTTTTCAAGCCATTTCAAATCTTTGAGTTTTACTTTTAGTAGAGGACTTTGTTTAAAGTCCAAAGATCGATCAAAAGCAAATTTTGAATAAAATCGAGAAAGATAAAGTTCCATTCAAAAGCTTAAGTTAAACGTTTAACTTTATAAAACAAGAAACAAGTTCAGCTCATCGAAACATAACAATGCAACGCAAATAGCCAAGAAAAAATAGTCCAAGTTCCTCCGTATAACACTGTATTTCCAGGACCCAATTTAATAACTAGCAGAGGCAATATTGCTCCGACAATACATCAAACAATCATCAACTACATCCCATTCCTTAATTAGTTGGAATCAGCTATATGAATCCTTTATATCGATTCCGATCAATTTCATTCCGATACTAAATAATTTGCATGTTAACATAATATCAGAGTTTCTAATTCTCACACTTATCTTTGTACGGAAGTACAAGTCTTTCCGCATAATACATGCTTAAATGAAATTGTGGTAAGAAAAATGTATTTTCCACCTAAATATATTTTCATGTTATTCTAAAGCCCTAAATTTTAATTCCATTTAGCTTATGTGGAAGTTCAGGCACCAAAAACACTAGAAACCAAGATGATTCATCTTTGAACGGATTAATTTGGGTGACAGGTAAATGAATAATTCACCAAAACCCATTAAAATTTGGGTCGGTTGAACAGGTCATGGTCAATTTTGACAAGCGTAGACACCAACACAAACAAATCAATTTTTCATGCTACACAAAATAAATCCGTCTAAGGAGACCTTATTCTTGCTAAAATTATTTAACCAAACTAAACAACAATATTAAATTCAAAGTAATGAATAATGGGTTGTACAGTTCAGATTTCTCTATTCTCCTGAGACAAAAAAAATTATTCAGAGATCCACATAAAATTAAAATTCATATCTTAGAATCAAGGTCAAGAAGACAGATCTTAGGTTTACCGTGTCCCTTTATCTTCAATTGATTTTGTGAACGGTTAAATAGATCTGGAAAAAACAGGAAAACCCTAGTAGATCTGATACATGAGAGGGTTAACAAGATTCGTTACCTCGTTAAAGCAAGAGAAAATTGTAACTACAGCGAAGCTGAAGCGGAGATACAGAGGCTGAGCCAAAATATCTTTTCTTGACGCTATCGTCAGCGTTATAAGCAGCAGGAGCAGGGGCGTGTTTCGTTTTTACCAAAATAACCTTCTTGCGTTTTTTTTGTATGTTTTCACTTGTCCTAACTTTTCTTTGTTGTAACCTGCAAGTTTAAAGTTAAGATTCCCCAATAGATTTGATATTTATTCTTAGTGAAAATATAATAAGTTTTTAAAAAAAATTTAGTTTGGCGGTAGAAGATATTAAACTTGACTAATATTCATATTAGTGATAATATAAGACACTTATTTTTGTCCCTCCATTTTATTTAACTTCTTCTGTTTCTTGTTATTTTATTGATAATTAATTAACTTTCTTATTTGTGGCATTTGTAAAAAAAAACTTATTTGTAGGACTAATTTCAGTCATGTTAAGATTAATATATTACTCCATCTGTTCCAATTTATGTAACCTATTTCCTTTTTGGTTCGTTCCAAAAAGAATGACTCCTTTCTAAATTTGGTAACAATTTAGCTTGAACTTACCATTCTACCCTTAATGAGAAGCTTTTATAACCACACAAATACTCTGAGCTCCTTTTTGACTCGTTTAGGACCACAAATTTCAAAAGTCTTTATTTTTTCTTAAACTCCGTGCCCAGTCAAACAAGTTCACATAAATTGGAATGGAGGGAGTATTGTGTTTGGTGGCTGTGAGAATTGAGATACAGTTATCAAAACAGATAACTTGGCCTAACCTCATGTGTTATAAAGTTCAAAAGCTTAACCCGACCTTAAGGGTGGCAAGTGGAGCCGGTCCAAGATCGAGACCGGCCGGGGACTGCGGACCAAACGGGCTTCTGGTCCTAAACGGGCCTGAACCGGTTAGAATCGTGTATGTGGGCCTGGTCCGGGCTTCTGGGCCGGTTCTTCACTTTAGGATCGTTAGACCTGGGACCGTTTGGGACCGGAACTGACCGGTCCTTGGCGGGCCCAAACGGTCCCAACGGTCAAAAATTCAAAAAAAAAAAAAAAATCGTTGGGCTTTGAAAAATCTGGCCGTTGGCCTTTAAAAAATAGTCGTTGGCTATTTACAAATTAGCCATTTAACCCCCCATCCCAACTTTGTTTTAACCCAAAACTTTTTGAATTACACTTTTTCCCTATTTTCAACTATAAATACCCCCTCATTCTTTTATTTTTCTCACAAAATCATCAATCTCTTTCTAATTTTCTTCTATAATTGCTACTATTGTTTACTTTATTGTTAGAATTTATGAAAATATTATGAAGTTGGTGAATTAAAGTCTTCAACGATAATCAATTTACGACAAGTTGTTCGTCAATTCGGTAAACTCGTTCCAACTCTTAAGTTTTAATATTACAGTTTTATTTTATTTATTTTCTACTATTTGATTAATTAAGATGGCTTCCTTAAAAAAACTTTTTGGTAAAAATAAGGGAAAATCCAAGAGTGGCGAATCTTGTGGTCACTCTGTTCCTCCTCCACTTCCCTCGGCTTCCCAAAACAAACCCCATATCTGTCTTACACCTGCGATTCTTAATAGCGATAATAGTTTATTACAATTTACTGAGAGTCAATTTTGCCACAATATTGGAACTGCTGAAGAATTAAATCATGAATTAGTGAATGCTCTTTATTCTAATCCAACTATTGATGAAAATGATGAGGAGGAATAGATTTTGATGAAACTCAAGCGGATGACGATACACCCACTAGTCCTGCTCCTGAAGTTAACCCAACTAGTGATAATCCAAATGATGCCCCGTGTGATACTTCTGTTACTGCCCCTACTTTTTCTAGACAACGTACCAAACGGACGAAAACATCTCTTGTTCGGCCATTTTTTACTCAACTAATTCCAGAAAATAAGGCTAATTGTAAAATTTGTGGCAATGAGTTAGCTTTTAAATATTTTGGATCGCGGGGCGAACGGGAACTTTGGCTAGACACATATTGATACACCCTCAAGATAAAGTCAAATATCTTTGTTCCAAAACTTTGGCCGAGGGGAAAAGTTTACCTACTCCTAGTGAGGCTGGCCCTAGTACCGGATCAAATCTATTTCAACCGGGAATAACACTGTTACTGGTGGTATTTTATATTATGATCCAAAACAAGATCGAGAAGAATTGGCAAAAATGGTTACTGTTATGTGCTTACCCTATAATTTTCCTTCTGACCCTAACTTTGTGCATTATACTAGAAAAAATTTTAATCCTACTTATAAAGGTTTTCCTCGCACAATCGTAAAGAGCGATATTTATAAATATAAACATGAATATGAATAATATTTGTGCTATTTATTTACACATATAAATTTACGTGTTGCTATTACAACTAATATTGGTAGAAGTGGTAACGACTGTGATTACCTTACTGTTACCAGTCATTGGATTGATGAGGATTGGATAATGCAAAAGCGCATTATTGCTTATAGAATAATTAATTCACGTCACACAAGGCAGTTTATTGCTAGCACGGTTACGGATATTTGCAGATATTTTTGCATTAGTGATAAAATAATGTCAGTTTCGATTTGGATTGAAAAGAGATATTGCCATATTTTTTAATGCTATAAAAAAATTATAACGCATTGCTTTGAATATCTCTTACAATATTTTTGTTTTTAAATTTGAATTAAAAAATTTAGGTCACAATTCTATAATAAAATTTACAAGGAATATTTTATTAACGTCTTTTTTTTTCTAATTTCTATAAAAAAAAATTAAAAAAAGTATCCATTGGGCCCACTTAGCCCGCGGGTCGGGACCGTTTAGCCCGAGACCATTGGTTTGTGGGCCCGTCACGGGCCGGTTCCTACAAAAAGACCACCAGGTCCGGGACCGTTTGGCCCGTTTAATTTGGAACCGGGACCGTTTGGACCGGCCCACTTAGTCCACTTAAGCCCGGGACCGGCCCACTTGTCACCCTTACCCGACCTAATCATTCAAGTGAAAGGACTTTCAAAATATCAACACAAAAATTCTAAGTTCCAAAATAGCTATAAAAAAAATATCTAGCCTAATCCTAACCAACTAATGAGTTTAGTTGAGCCTAATCATTTAACGATACGTGTGTTTTTCGATAAATGTTGATTGTTTGGAACCACAAAACCTTCTTTGTAATCTTATGATAACTCTTAAATTTTTATATAAAAATCTAGGTATTATTGGCCTCAACGTATGTATTTGAACTATCAGCCTTTTTTACAACCTTATATAAAATCATGGTATTCATGGATTTCAAAATGTATATTGAATTCATAAGAAAACATTTGA